GTTTACCAGGGCACCCCTTGGAGTAACTAGAAACAGCAGACACAAACTGACAGAGAGCAGATTCAGGTTAGACATCAGGAAGAACTTTTTCACTGTTAGGGTTGCCAAAATCTGGAACAGGAGGTGGTGCTCTCTCAAAGACTTTGGGGGTCTTCAAGAGGAGGTTGGACGTACACTTTCCTGCCCAGGGCAGGGGGTCAGACTCGATGATCTGCTAAGGTCCCTTCCGACCCAAACGTCTATGAATCTATGAATAGATGCCATGCTGTCTAAGATGAAGCTTATTATGCAGGCAGTGAGCACTCTAACACAAGAGATGACTTAAGATCCAGAATACCATAAGAAAAGCAGCCTGAGGAAGGCTAGGTGACTCCCTCTCCAGCTTTCAGGAAGGAGGGGGGGATAGAGGGCACAGAACTGACCATTTTCCCTGAGAAGGTCTCAGTTGGGCAAGCACATAGCCCTCATGATCTAATGTTGCCTGATCAAATGGATTTACTGCCTCCTGACAACAGTAGTTCTACTGTTTCTTGGGTGATTCACAAGCCTACAAATTCCCTCAGTGGTTAATCATACTTTATTAGTGGATTTAGTTAGTAGGTAGGCTAAATGTTTTTTAAATGTGTGCTGTATCAGTGTTTGTTAAGTATTAAGTTTGGCTAGAAAAGCAAGATGTGGTTTTGGGAACTGCAGCTTAGAGTGGCTTAGTTTTGGAAGCCTGTATCCTGTCATGCAGAGGCAGTTAGAATTGGTCTCTGAGTAAAAAGCATCTCTTTCAAGTACCTTGGACCCAAAGTGATTGAATGCCACAATCCTAATATATCGGTAAGTATTCATTACGTCACTTTACTGTAGTACCTATGCAGCCTATATTGCCCTTTCATTTCTTTGATGGGAAAGATTCATAATACTTGAATGGAGTTCGATTGGAGAGTTTTGGGAGTGAAATCCTTTTAATCTATTAAAGAAAAAGTGAGATTTATGGAGAGCAGTGTGGTATAATGGTTAAAGCATGGGTCAGGAGACTTGGATTCCATCTTGGTGCTTCCACGGATTTTATAGGTGACCGTGAGTAAATCACTTCCCTTCCCTGTGCCCCTTTTTTTCACTCCTAACCCCCTTTGCCATGTCTGCTTAAATTGTGGTTTCTTCTGCCCCGGTGTATCTGTGTGTACCACAGCCCAGCGCAATAGAGCCTCATCTTGTTTGAGCCCCCTATGTGTTACCAACATGCTGAAGATCATCAGAGGTGTGTATAGACAGTACTGCAAGCCTCATTTGGTGGGAGATACCTTATTCCCTCCTTGCCAACAGAAGTGCTAACTAGTTCCAATTATAATGGCACTTTTTGGTGCGATGAACATCTGCCACGGGGAAACAGGAGAGAAATCATCAGACTCATTTCACATCAAGAAGCCATTTGAAGGGAACAGCTTTCAGCTACAAATATCAGCTGGGCTAAAATTGAACCCACTGCCTACAGGTGAAAGGCTCTATAAAGCTTTACTAATCCCCAGAGCCATTCTATCCCACTTATAGGGTATACTACATTTAGCTCAAATCACATAGTCTTAGCCTCTTCTGGTCTGACAGCATTTAAATGTAGTAAACCTTTTCTCTTTCTCTTTCTCCTCTAATTGTCTGCAGCATTTGTTCCTCCTTTGGGATTTTCCACTTTTCTTTGTTGCTTTATACAATCCATTCCCCAGTTCCTTGTTCATTCCCTGTATTCCATCCCATCTTTTCTCTTCCTCCCTGGTTTGATATAGCATCTCACTGGTCCTGCTTCACACTAAGAGAAGGGGTATTAGATGGAGTCCCCATAGAGTATAAATTGAACAGAGAAAAGTGGCTGGTTTCCCAGCAATAATTTATCTGATTAAAAAATGTTCCCCACCCCCACTTCCCTCCTGGCCCTAAACCCCCTCCAAAAAAAAGAAAAAGGAGAACCTTGGCATCCAGGCTACTATTTGAACTATATTATTCAAATTGCTTGAAGGGGGATTTAGATGGAAAAATAACTGTCGAAAGATAGCTCTCCGGGGAAACAGCGTTAGCTCTGGAATTTGGAATAGGAGTTGTTGTGTGAAGAAGTGCAGAAAACGTAAATAGTTCAGAGTCAAGTACCTCTGTGATCTCCAACTCTGCTGTTGCTCTCCTTTTAAAAACTGATATTAAAAAAACCAACCAGTAGGCAGTGAAACAGCAGTAAAGACAGTATTCCCTGATCAATAGTCAGCTTCTCTCTCTTTTTTTCTCCATGCTTAGTGCAGGGTTCAGTCCAACTAAGACCAGAACTCCAGTTCATAAAGTACTTGTCTCCATGTGTGTCACCTGGACAGGTTTTGTTCCCTCCTGCTCAGTATGCTGGGGGGGGTGTCCCTGTTTCTTTGCCTTTCAAAATCTTTGTTACTGGTACTTTATTCAGAGGTAGGTGTTTGGGGGTTAGAAAAATCCTTCCTGTTCTCTCTTCCCCACCAGTATATAATAGCAATGTGGTATAGGTGCCTGGGGCTCTGTATTTTGGACCCTTGGTTTTGGCTGCTTTCTTTTTCTTTTGCAAGAGAGAGAGGCCTCTATTTTACATTTCATACTACTTTCACAGTATGCAATGATTTATAATGGAAGTTACCTTATTAATGTCAAGGGCAGAATTGCTACTGACATTCAAGCTGCAAGAGTGCATGAAAATCATTTAGTTTGCTGTTGCATGATCCACACAGTGAGGGCTGTTAGCTAATGTATGTACTTCTTTGTGTTTCCAGGCTGGACTAACTCTGCATGATGGTTTCTGGGCCAGTGGGTGAAATGCTGCCAGGCCAGCTCTAATCCTGAGTTCTGAACCTCAGGGTAATCTCAACCAACTCACCAGTGCTCAGGTTTCCTTGTTTTCAGACTGGAGGGCTGTTCAGCTGAAACCTCCCTCCTCTCCTTCTTGAGGATTTACGTTGCCACAAGTCTTCATTTTTTCCAGATGTTTTACCTAATAAATCAGGAGGTCTCATCGGAGGATTTGAATCCAAAAGCTATTACCATGACTTCAAAGGCACAGGCATGGAAAGATGGGGAGCAGATATTGTCTACAAATCCATAGTCATAATGATAATAAAAGTGGTTGTTCTAGACTCAAGCTCCAGCATGTGTTCTGTGAATAGCGTGCCTCCATAGTGATTAAATAATATGGATAGCTTACACTGATGCTGTGTGAACCTTTCACCAGCCTTGTTTAAAACACGTTCTACTAAAGTGATATACGGTGCAGAGAAACCATATGCAGTTAAGCAAAAGTGGGGGGCAGGGGTGCTGATTGTGAGACATGAGGAGCTCTTTATATTGCTGAACTGAAGTCAATAGGAAATTACTCAGCATCAAGCCCCATTTTTTCTCCTCTGCTCATTTTCCATCTTAGTGCCAATGGAAGCTTTTTTCACTCAGAAGAATTAATGGCATAGCTCATAGCTATGTAATGCTTTGATGATAAAAACATTTTATGGTCGCAAAATAGGGATTGAACCTCTTATTGCTGGTTTATTCCTAAATCAAGAACTTATTTAGAAGGGATTCACTAAAATGTCAGGCAATTATCTGCTGCCTAAAATATATATCACACCATTTTCTCTTGCTGTTGTATTTGTACTCTTCAACTGGGTGCTTGGTGCTATGAGAACTGGAGCAAGTTGTTACCAGTGTGTTTTTAATTGCCTGTAGCCCAATATATTTGCTTTTGGGTAACTGTAAGCAGTATGTAGTGAGGAATGTTTCCGTATTGCTGATTTATATAATATGGTCCTTAAAAATAGCGTCTAGGAAGGAGGGATAGGCCAGCAATGAAGGAAGTGTGAGACTCTGGAGACCTGGCTTGGATTCTCTGATTGCTGGTAGATCTCTGGAACCACATCAGATAAGTCAAGGAGACCTTCTCCACGCTGCTTCTCTGCCAGGCCTGGGAGTGCTGCTGTGCAGCGTGCCCCTCTCACTCTTCCACACTCTGCATAGTCAACCCCCCCCAAATAAGACTACATGATAGCCTCAGAGCAACCCTGACCGTATGTCCAAAACTGCTTTCAAAATGTCTGTCTCATGCATGTTTACTGGCACATCTCAGGGTAGCTCTAAGGTGACTACACTGCCTCACTTCCAGGGTTCAGCAAGTAGGCAGAACAAGTAGGCAGGGTGGGTTTCACGGTAGAGCTCCTGGGCACAGCAGAGGAACAGTCTAGACAAGCCTGTTGTCTGTCTGTGTGAGTAAAATGGGGTAATAGCACTTCTCTACCTTATAACCTTCACCTCTAATTCAGAGCACCAAAGTGTTACAAAAATATCATGGGTTACACATTAAACCATGTATGTGTCTATGATAGAGACTTTGGAATATTAATTTGCCCTAAATTTAGGGCCATTTTCCTTGTGCTCCAATTAGCAATGGGGCAAAGGGATGATAAGCAAGGAATTATTCTAACTGGCTCTTTTTTCGCTTGATTGTTTCAGTTCCTTAAAGTTGCTGCTGGCCAGCTCCTCTTGTGTCACCGCGGTTCCTCAGCAAGCACCATGCTGGGAAGTCCCAGAGGCAGGGAAGACTTGCTGCATTATTGAAATGTCCATGCCAACAGAGAAAGATTCATTATTAAGTAGATTCTGCATTATTACACGGAGCTCCTGACAAGGTTTGTTCCTCCTTCCTGTCTGTGTGTGTGTGTGTGTGTGTGTGTGTGTGTGTGTGTGTGTGTGAGATAATGATAAAGTCTTTATAAGTATTGTTATAAAACTAGTGTATGCCCCCCTCAGAACAACTGTGCTTCTCATTTACGTGTCATCCCCCCAGCACCCTAACGCTGCCCCATAGGACAGCTCCACAATCCATCATGACTGCCTGGGATCTGTGACAACCCAGAATGATACGTGCTGGGTCATCAGAACAGAGTAGGAGCAGCACAGCATGACTTCGGGAGCCTAAAAATAGGTACAATAATTTTTGAGCTGAAGGCTTTCTCCCCACCCCCTCCCTCCCCCAGCCCTTGCCATTTGGTATACTCAGCACATAATTGTCAAGATAACTTAAAAAAAACACAAAACACATCTCCCTATAGAAATGAGCATGTTTATTAGTAGAGATTGTCGCTTTGGTGGCAGGATGAGTTATGGTATCGCACACTGAAATAACTCCACGTGACTTCCAGTGACACAATGGCTTACAGGTTTTCTGCGAGCAGTGGGCGTGGAAAGGAGCACTAGTCATCTGCCTCACTATGGGGTAAAGGATCAGATACGGCCAGAGACATGGTATAAAATGAGAAGCCAAATTCCTTTTTGCTGGATGGCTGCTCAAGTACTTGGAGTCACTGTGAATTGCCTGATTGAGCTGTGAATGTAGCACATTATATTTTTCCTCTGGATTGTTTCTTCCCTTTATTCTGTAACTCTGTAAATCTCATTTGAACTTACCACACCTTTTTTTTTTTTTTTTTTTTTTAAGTTTACTCATTGGAGTATGTGCTAGACCCAGTCTCTGCCAAGCCTAAATAAACTGCATTTATAAAGGAACCCTGATTATTCTGGACAGGAGGGGTTTGATTCACAGAAGTCATATTCTTTGAAAAGGTCTGTTCCTTTGGTAGTGACTTGTTTGAAATGGATTCTACTTTACTATGCCTGTTAAGCTGTTCTCAAGGCCACACAAAGGAGGAAGGATTGTATAAGGCCGTATAAATCAAAGTTTGTTATAGGAATGTCAAACACTGCAGCACACTGGTGTGTTAATAGCAAGCAGACAAGAAGTGCGGTAGTAGTCAGAGACAGTTTGCAGAAGCAATGAAGCTAGAGAGTCCGATTCTCAAAGCTGTCTACAACAGCTGGGTCCAGCAGACCCAGATGTAATTCTGTTGCTGCTGAGGGGGGACTGACTAGCCCCCACAGCACATTGTTAAAGGACTTCAGTGGTCAGATGAGAAGTGCCTGGAGTTGTCTTTCTGGTCTAAATTGCTACCATTAGATAGGCTCTAGAAACGATGCAATGGGGCAGATGTTCATCTCACCAAAAAGCTCCATTTTAATTGGAACTAGTTAGCACCTGTTCTGCTCTCACTAAGACAGAAATCACTGTATGGAAGTCACTGGAGATGTAGTGGGGTGAACTAGTGAGAGGGTAATTGGGACCCTGAGCAGAAGACGGTAAGGTGACCCTGTCTGAGGTTCTCTCTGGTTAGTTCATTTTGCTGCTAAGATCAAGTGTAGTGTGATCCAACAGCCTGGGACCCCAGCAATGAGAGCATCCTGCATGCTTGCTGTGTCTCCTGCTGCTATGCCAAGCAGATGCACTGACTTATGGTGTCAGACACAATCTGCTGGTCCTGCAACATCTATGTAGAGCACATCATGGGCTATCGCCAATATACCAACCCCGCCAGACTGACCACCACTGGACCGGACCCAGAGAGGACCACCTGAAGCCCCCTCTGCACCCGATGGACTCCAAGAGGAACCTTCAACAATGGACCACCCCGCTCCACCCGAAGAGGACCCCTGCGATGAGACTCTGTACGGACTGAGACACTTTCTCCAACCCACTCCCTCCACCATTGCGGACCATTGTACGGGTTTGTGTGCATCTATCTTCTTTCTCTCTCAGCGTCGTGAACCCCCTGCCTCCCCTTCCCCCTTCCCCTCCCTCGCCCCCAGGCTTAGTTGGCTAATATCGTATGTTCTGTAACCTAGTTGCATTCCCCTCCTCACCCCCATCCCTCTTATGTTACTCCCTCGCTCGGGTGATCTGTATTTCCCTACTGGCTTTGTCATCCTTTTGGTTCGTGACTCTTAACATCCACTAATAAAATTCAGTCTGTTCTTATCACCTCTTGAAGGCTCAGGACAAGCGTAGTGGCTTGTTAACCTGGCAGGGGAAACACCATGTATCTGTGTCCAAGAAGGCAGTTTTCCTGAAGTGCTACCCAAGAGAACTGCTCTTGTGACATGGTTCAGTACCTGCCAAGATGCCGTGGCTTTAAGCCCAGTTTATGGAAGTGGGAGTCTCATCCCTAGCTTGCTCAGAGGGCGTTATGGCTAAGGGGAAGCAAAACTTGGGGACATCCGAACCCCAAACCTCTGGGCTTGGGCTTGCAAGTAGGATGCCTGCCAAAGGGTTTGGAAACATCTGAAGCCCCAGGTGGGGTGGAGGATGTTTGTTTGCCAGTAATAGGGCCACTTATGGTTCTGGACGCTTGGATTTGGCATTAGTTTTGGCTAATTTGGCTGTGGATACTAATTAAACTTAAAAAAAATTGTTGCAGAAGAAGAAAACTCCCCATCTTAGTACCTGCAAATCAGAAAGCTTCTCTCTTGCAGCCACAGTTTTTTGGCAGTGGCAGGAAGAGGAGGACAGCACAGAAAAGGAAACTGAGTGAAAAGTATGGGAAACCTTTTAGTCAGCACTTTAGATGTAAGCTCACGAACAACATTTCCTAGACACTTAATAGCAAGTATGCTATGCACCACAACCTTTTTATAGTTGCATTCTCCCTAGGCACCTCTTTTTGCTGTGGACCCAGCACTGCAGCTGTAACTCAGGCCCTTGCTTCTAGTGAAGTCAGTTGATGTTTTGCTTGGAAAGGGATGGCAGGACCCAGAGATGTCACTGAATCACAATATATGAGGCAACACTGGATTCTACCAAACACTTTTCTAGGCTTTATGTGGAGATCCAAGGCCATAACTTGATCCTGTTAGTGGAATTCCATGATGTCCAAGTTCATAATGTATTAAATCTTAAGGCTCTTATGCTCTTCTTATTCTGGCAGGCTCCCATTGAAGTCTATGAGAATTGTAGCAATAATAGCTGTGTAAGGACCATGGCAGGCTAGAAGTCCAGGCAATGCACATGTTCCCAGTTGATCCCACAATGTAGGGGCCCTATTGGGCTTCTTTGGGAACCCCAAAGATTCATCTCCCTTTACCCCCCTCTGATCTTTAATGCTCAGGTTTCATGACTGACCTTCTGCCAATGCAATGCTGGATAGGGGCTGTGGGACCCCTTAGCTTTTGGGGGTGCAAATGTAAAACATTTCTCCACTCCCACCCCAACTCCTATCTCCTGCAATCCCCCTATTCTATTGGGCCAGCATGAAAACTTTCACATAGCCAAATGTTATTTACTCATTCTCAGGCTCACAGATTCACAGAAGTTTAGGGCTGGAAGGGTCCTTCTGAGATCATCAGGTCCAGCCCCCCTGCTCTGGGCAGGAAAGACAGAAATTTAGAAGAAGAAAATAACCGTTTTCAGGCTCCTAAGGATCACTGTATACCAGTCAAGTTCAGCGACCTTTGAAGTGATTGCTGCAGAGCAGTGGAAGGTACTTCATCCCACCTTAGGACTGAGCACGCTGTCTCTGCTGTTTTGCAAGGCCCTGATGCTATGGGAATGTGGAGGGGGAGGTGGGAGCTTAAAGTCTTTGCAAAGTACTGCATTTAAAAATCAAAATGAAGCTATTTGTGCTTAGCACTAGTCACAAGGCTTTCCTTTTATGGGAAGGATTCTAGAGGGGGGGTGCTTTTAGGTTTAGCATTGCTTGTGGATCAGGATCCTGGATGAGCCCCATAGTGACAATTCACATTCTTATGCCACTGTCTGTTATGGGTGCTCAGAGGCACCTTAGCTTTTTGGGGTGCAAATGTAAAACATTTCTCCACTCCCACCCCAACTCCTATCTGCTCCAATCCCATGACTCTGTACTGGGCCAGCATGAAAACTTTCACACACCCAGATGTTACTCATTCTCTTAGAATGTAGGAGAAGAAAATAAGCACTTTCAGGCTCCTAAGGATCACTATATGCCAGTCAAGTTCTGTCAGTCACTCAAGGAAAGGAGTTTAGCAATCTCAATCCAGTCCCTGTGGTATGTGTCCATTTCACAGAAGAAACCCTTGAAAAATTCTGAATTTGGCAAGGTTGACAAGAGAGTAAGGAAAGGGCCAGGCCAGACCTAACGGATGTATTGAAGGTCAGAGCAATGGTGCCCTAACAAAGCTTAGTAAAAGCCAATAACTGAAATAGCAAGTAGGTGCAACAGTTCAAGAGTGAGGTTCTGTGGCGGAGCTGGGTAAGCTCCAGGACTAGAACAACGGAGGTGCTGCAGGGCAGAACTGAGGTGCCCATTGTGCCATGAAAAGGTATGGCACAAGAATAGCATGCTGGATATAAAATAAGGTGCATGTCCAGAGCTCTGATACTAGGGGAATCATGAACAAATAGTTAGAGCGATCTATATAGGGACCGTAACTAAACTGATATGGGGGAACGGCAGAATGGGAAGGACTGAAAGAAAGCCACATAATGCCAGGCACTTGTCAGCAGTTTTTTGCTTCTCTCTTCAAAAACTAATTCAAATAACTGGAGAAAACTTATTGGCCAGACTCCTAATTTTAGATCTGAGGTAGAAGGGATAGCTATTTCAGAAAGACAAGCCAGCTTTGTGCCTTGCTCACAGTCAGGAAACACCAACAATGAAAGCATAGGGGATTAGGCACACGGTGGGGCCCAGGTGCCCTCTGGCATTGATGCCTAAAACTTTAATTTTGCTTCTGTGAACGTTGCCCATTATACCCATTGTGCATATCAGCAGTGCCTCTAACTTTCCTTAATACCTTTTTACAGGAATCAAATGTGCTCTTATATGGTGCTTTTCATGCTTGAGGGAGTTCAAAGTGCTTTGCTAAGCACTGTAATGAGTTAGATCATGGTAGTGCAGTGGCAGTGCACACAAATTCAGTGGCAGTCATGTGCTCTGCAATAATTTGGGCAGTCTCCGCTACTCAAAAGTGTTTTACTTATTGAAGGAACGTCAGGCAGGACTCTTGTTTATTCTCTGGAGGCCTTTGATGACATTCAGCTTCTATGCAGACAATGACATATGAGAAGATAGAAAAGAGACCTTGCTGTTGACATGGCACTGTGGAGCACTGGACGTCTCAACACTGCACTGTAGTATGGACTGAAAGGTAGGTAAGTGCTTGAGACCCGTTGCTGTTCCTGTTCATTTTTAAGAGTGAACTAATGTTTTGCATTTATATAGGACCTTTCAGCTAAGGATTTTGGAGGACTTTGCAGATGGTACTCTCCACAATGCCACTGTAAAGCAGTGGAATATCATGGCTCAGTAGGAAAAATGAGGTGGGAGAAGGCGCTAGGGGTCAGTTCCAAAAATGGGCTTAGGTGTCTTAATGTGAGACTGCAGCAGAATGTGGATGCCAATGGCTAAATTTTTAATCTTGGAAACCACCAGTCAACTGCATAATTTTGGAAGTGTCTCCACTGTTTAGCATTTCAAGTTTTGACATTCAAGATGCCAAGGCATCTACAATTCTGCTTCTGCATTTGCCCAGTAGTTCCTCAGTCTTGACAAGGTTAAGTACCTCCATACCTAGTTGATGTCTAATTTGGATTTGAGTCTAAGTGTTCCTCTGCCTATCCTCCCTTGATGTGGTGGGCAGGCTCTGTAAATTATTGTCCATTTTCCTTTTTGCAGAAAATGTTATATGAGCCCTACCCCCTTCCCATGTAAATCTCTCATGCTTACATGGTCATAGGCCTCATGGCCCTTCCTAATACTAACTGTGGCTGTTGGGAAACATGCAGCATCCGCATTTGGCTGGCATGAAACGTCTCAAAAGGGAACAAAGTTTTTTCCTACAGCTGTATGATTAGAGCAGCCTAATTATAAAAGCAAATGGTAATTAAACAAGGAGATGGCCCTGCTTGAGGTGATGATGTCTCTGCAGACACTCCCTTTGTGAGTTCCTAGATATACAGAAAGTTGGGCCTTACTCTTTCACATTGCTTAGCATTGCTTAGCATATTCAAGCTGGAACAGGAATTCATCTGCACTTCAGAGGGTCTTCTGTTTCCTTTCCCCTTCCCACACTGCAATAGCACATACATAGCAATGCAGTTAAACAAAGAACAAGTTTCTCTGGAGTTTCCAATGTGCTGGAAGGCAACTAGTCTTGAAACTCCTCCCTGAACAATGGTGGAAATTTGACATGTACATCTTTGCTAGGCTCATTCACTGGGATTAAAAGGAATATGCATCATTGTTCAGCATGCCCCCTGTCTGTATTTTAACTGCAAATAATAAACCTTTTACCTTGCTGTTATTAGAAGATTTCAAACTGCTTTACAAAAAGAGTGACCCTGCTGACATGAACAGAATGGTACACCAAGAATGAGAGCAGAACACAGCCCATTAATTAATTAGGCTTTTTGGCAGCCCTGGAAGGTAAGGATACACGGCCCCTTCCTTGAACTACTGGAGTGGGAACAGTAGGAACAGTGCAAAGCAAAACTAAATGAAAATTCTGTCTCTAATTGGAGCCATAAGAGACATGCAAGGAGGCCACATAGAGGTACCAGCCATAGAAGTTGGCTAGGACAGTAGGGCAAGCTCTTCTGGTGATACAAAACAACCATATCTGTGTCCTGCTCCTAAATGAAAGCCTCCTGTGGGGACAATGAACTTCTGGCTTCCATTGAAATCAGTAGGAAATCTGGGCGCTCTGTCAGGAGTTTTGTTAAGAGTTGCATCCC